TAATTGAAAAGTTGAGATAAATGCATGAGAATCTAGATTCAATCTTATCATTATTGTGATCTTTCTCGTCGATAAGAAAAATTATGATATTATTAATTGATTTTTGAGAAAAAATTAACTAATCAATATTAAATATTCAACAACTTTATCATATTATTAACAACATTAATAAATGATACAATCACATATTTATTTTTAACTACTTGTGAAAAAAATTAAGTCAACCACATTTATATATTTACTTAATCATTTATGACATACTATATCTTCATGGCATTATTAATGACTTAAGAGATAAAGTTAATCACCATTATATATTTCAATAATTTCATGACTCTAATAATCATATATCAATAGGTTTTTGTGTATGTTGTGCAATGAAAGTTTACACACACATGTCTTTATACTAATAATATATTGTCCATTTTGGACCTTAAACCCTCATGATTTTGTTTTAGGACATCACCCAAAAAGTCTTTAACTAATAGAGATATGTACGTGTATATAAATCTATGTCCATCCTTATATTCTAAGGATGCGAGATTTTGATTGTATCCTAACAATCCTCCCGTCAAAGAAAGGATCATGGTTTAACCTCCCATTTGCATCACAAGCTATCGGTCCATCAATATATCCAATGATGATTTATAGAGTTCAGTCACATTCTAAATACTTGTATCATCATTCAATGCCTCACGATAGAAAAAACATACCTCCTAAACATACCTTCGATACAAGGAATCCTATATTCAAATCCACCTACCAACCATTATACTTGTTTAACCGATCACTTGGTCTAACTAGCGACTTTGATACTACTTGTTGTACATTAGGGGATTTACACACATATATCTACATTGATAAGATATTGTCTACTTTTGGTGTAAGTCCTTGATTTTACTTTTGAATATCACCCAAAAATTCTATTACAAATAGATACATATATGTATATAAATTTATGTTTATCCTTATGATCTAAAGATGTGAGATTGTATCTCAAGAGTATACAATATATTGTTCATTTACTTTCAACCACTTGTTATGCAAAATAAATCATATTCACACATATAGTTAATTATGCGTGGTAGTGGACAATATCATGACTTTATTAATCATTCGTGAAACAAAATTAATCACCATTAGACATTTCAATGGTCTTAAAACAATATTATTCATATAATAGTATTTTATACAATTAGGGGTTCATTTAATTTTAATCACTTTTAAAATAAAATTAACTATATTTATACGTATAATTCACCATGTATCAAGTGTGATGTTGAGGGATTTTTTTTGGTGTACATTGATTTTTCTCTTAATAGTTGCTATTATATGATTTAAAGCATTCAATATACATACATAGAACTTGTACACAAACACTTCATAAGATCTAGGACAAGTTTGGATTATTGTTGCACCTTTCAAAATTGTTCAAAATAAAAGATATAAACTACCCATCTTACCTCTCGATCATTTGTTGCACCATGATTTAAGGTCAATATAGATAGTGTACTAGCACGGCCATTCGGCCACCTGGCTTGGCCATTCGGTCACCTGATGGCCGACACCTATTCGGCGCCCGAGTGGCCGAATCAGGTGGCCGATCAGCAACCAGATGATCCATAGATCCAAATTCTCACTAATAAAGAGTTAAGGATTCCCTCTAATTAAGGATTAAGAGTTAATCCCCCAAAAAACCCGATTAGAGGCGTATTCCCTAATAGGGTAACCCTGCCACAGGGCCCAGGGAGGTCAGGGCCCATAAATGTTAGTGTAAATAGCTCATGTCACGAGGTAACGTCACTGTTCATTAATTACTATCGATATCTGTGCTTTGTCCTGACTTGAGCGTCGGAGTGCCTTTTACAGGTACCTCCCCCTCACCGGAATATTCGATCGGAGCTCTCGTTCGGCCCTCAGAATACAAGAAGATTACTGGTGTGTCCTTTCGACAGGTACATTTGGCGCCCACTGTGGGGCCGAACGAAGATAGTGGAAGATTAACTGAATTGAGTCATGGCGATAACTAGGAAAACAAACACGCAGGGCCACCAAACCGAAGAGGAAGAACCTGTTGAGGTTGTTGACGAAACGGATCTTTCTGAAGCCGTTCGGTTGTTGAAACAGGAAATGGAGGTTATGAAACAGCAGCGAGAAAAAGATGCAAAGGAGCTTTCGGCTTTGAGAGCTGAAAACGAGGCGTTAAAAAATCAAGATACCTCATGGAGACCTACTCAGGCCACCAACACACAAACACAAGGGTCGTACCAATCGCATGCGATCCACACCTCGGCCCCCCATGCCTCGGCGATGGAACCTGAGAAATTCCCTTCGGCCTTACCCACTGTCGGTCGTCCTGCCGATCTGACAACTATCGGATCGCACCGACACCCTTTCACCCCCTCTATTATGCCACTTCCCCTAATGGATAATTGGAAATCTTTACCTATAGACAAATATGATGGTACAACAGACCCTGATGAACATTTGGATGTTTTTCTGACGCAGGTAACTCTAAGCACCACTGATGATGCTGCGTTGTGCCAAATCTTTCCAACATCCCTCAAAGGCAGAGCCCTGAGTTGGTTCACTCGGCTCCCACCCAACTCTATCGACTAATTCAACACTCTGTCGTCACAATTCACCATCCAGTTTGCCACAAGTCGTCCTCACAGCTTGACATCTCTATCTTTGGTAGGCCTTCGACAAGATAAAAAAGAGTCACTCCAGACTTTCATGGATCGGTTTAACAAGGCAACTCTTGAAATCAGAGACCTCAATCCAGCTGTTGCTCTCCACCATCTCACTACGGCTTTGAAGCCCGGGCCATTTGTCAACAGTATTTGCAAAAAACCTCCTTCAGACATGAATGACCTACGAAGGAGAGCCGATAAATATATGCAGATGGAAGAATTGGCTGAATACCGTAATCAGGATCGGACCAAACCGGTGAGCAAACCCGAAAAGCAGACAGAGCAACCCTACAGGGGGCGGGGCAAAGAGCTAACTCTTCGAGATCGACCGGCACGAGGTCCGAAGTACTCTCATTATACTCCCCTAAATGCGAGCTGAGTTGCGGTTCTTGAGCAAGCACTGGCGTCAGAAGTGTTAGCGGTTCCAAAGAGAGCAGCAACCCCCCCTAGGGCTGATACCAACAAGTCTTGTAGGTATCATCGCAATCGGGGACATTCTACTAAAGAGTGTGCCGCCTTGAAGGATAGAATTGAAGACCTCATCAAGCAAGGGCAACTCCAAAATTTCATCGATCGGTCAAATACATCTCGGCATCGCTCATCTTACCAGTATCAGCAGCGAGACCGACCTGAGCGCTCAGATAGACATCGGCGTGAGCGCAGCAGGTCGCGAGATCGGAAAGGTGAGCAACAAGCATCGCATAGGCGTGTGATCAATACCATCGCAGGGGGCTTTGCCGGGGGAGGATCAACTTCGTCGGCTCAAAAGAGACATCTACGAGCGGTTAGGGCAGTCAATCATGTCGAACAACGTCCAAGTCGGCGAATGTCCGCTATTACATTTACTGACAAAGACTTTCAAGGAATTGACCCGGTTCAAGATGACCCTATGGTCATCAGTGTTGAGATCCATAATTGTATTGTGAAGAAAACACTCATAGATCAAGGCAGTTCGGCCGATATTCTGTACTGGAATACCTTCAAACAACTCGGCATCCCCGAGGAAGAGCTAACTCCTTACAATAAACTGCTTGTAGGATTTGCAGGTGAGAGAGTCAACACCAAAGGGTTTATCAAGCTCTCCACTCGGTTTGCTTCGACGAAAAGGAACATCGGGACATCCAGGTGAAATATATTGTTGTTCAAGCCAACACATCATATAATATTCTGCTAGGTCGGTCGTCACTGAATGCCTTGGGGGCCATTGTTTCTACCCCCCATCTTGCCATGAAGTTCCCCTCCGATAGGGAGAACATCCTCACCATACATGCCGATCAGAAAGCAGCTCGAGAATGCTACTTTGCAAGTCTCCGCCTACCTCCAGTTGAAGAAAGGCAAACAAAGGCAAGGCGTGTTCACGCGATAACTCCTCAGCTCTCAGAATCAGCTTCAAAATGGGACATTGATCTGAGGTTAAACGACGAGCGGGCAGAACCGATAGAAGAAAAGGTCCCTCTACAGGTCGGCTCGAACCCCTCCCAGGTTACTTATATCGGGATTGGTTTGTCACAAACAGAAAGAACTGCGTTGTGCAGGATAATCATCTCCAACAAAGATTTGTTTGCTTGGATGCCTTCGGACATGCCGGGCATAAATCCAGAGTTCATGTGTCACAAGTTGTCGATTTTCCGAGCAGCCAAGTCGGTTGCTCAGCAAAAAAGGAAAATGGGAATAGAAAGAAAGGTTGCTGTTGAGTCAGAAGTTGCCAAGTTGTTACAAGCTCGATTCATTCGTGAAGTGCAATACACTACTTGGCTAGCAAACGTAGTGATGGTTAAAAAACCGAAGGGAAAAGGGCGCGTGTGCATGGATTAAACAAATCTGAAAAAGGCCTGCCCCAAGGATGCCTCCCCATTGCCTAATATCGACCGACTGGTCGATGGGGCATCCGGACATAAATTATTAACCTTCCTTGATGCTTATTCGGGGTACAATCAAATCCGTATGCACCCGCAGGACGAGGTCAACATAGCCTTCATCACGGACTCGGCCAACTACTGTTATCGGGTAATGCCATTCAGACTAAAAAATGCGGGGGCAACCTATCAGCGGTTAATGGACAAGGTATTCAAAGATCAAATCGGAAAAAATCTTGAGGTCTACGTTGATGACATGGTGATTAAGTCAAATGATCTATGTACACATAAAGACGACCTTATGGAAGTTTTTCACCAACTTCGGAAACACGACATGAGGTTGAACCCTGAGAAATGTGTTTTCGGCATTGCAGGGGGTAAATTCCTCGGCTTCATGTTGTCAACCAGGGGTATTGAAGCAAACCCAGATAAATGTTAGGCAGTAATCGGCATGATAAGTCCGCGTAACATCAAGGAGGCTCAGCAGCTGTCAGGTCGCCTGACATCACTCTCTCGGTTTCTACCCTGTTTAGCCGAAACTGCAAAACCCATCATCAGGCTGCTGAAGAAAGTAAACAAATTCACATGGCCGGAGGAATGTCAAACAGCTTTTCAAGCTTTAAAACAGCGTCTCGGAACTCCTCCAATCCTTTCACAGCCCGACCCTACTTTGGACATCATTGTTTATATGTGCGTTTCGCACGAGGCTATCAGCTCGGTATTGATACAAGAAAAGGAGACCCAAATGCCTATTTACTTCATCAGCCGGATGTTACAAGAGTCGGAAGGGAGGTATCAGCTACTTGAAAAGGTTGCACTCGGACTTGTTCACACGGCTCGTAGACTTCGGCAGTACTTTCAGGGGCATAAAGTCGTGGTACGCACCGACTGCCCTATCGCTAAGGTTTTGAGAAAACCTGAGCTGGCAGGCCGCATGATGGCATGGTCTATTGAGTTGTCCGAGTTTGACATCTCATTCGAACCAAGGGGCCCGATAAAATCACAATGCTTAGCAGACTTTGTTAACGAATTGCAGTCGACAGGACTTTTTGAAAGTGATCAATGGACGATCCGGGTCGACGGGTCGTCTAATAACCAATGCAATGGGGCCCGTGTCATTCTTGAAGCACCGACAGGCATGGAACTTGAACAATCGCTGCGATTTGCGTTCAAAGCCTCTAATAACCAGGCCGAATATGAGGCATTGTTGGCAGGTTTGAGGCTAGCCCGAGAAGTGGGCGTCCGAAAACTAGTCTGTTGGACCGATTCAAAGGTCGTCTCAGAACAAGTAAATGAAAATTTTCAAGTTAAAGACGCCCACCTGTTGAAGTACTATCATACGTTCCGGAATATGTGCCAATTTTTTGATGAAGTAATTGTAAAGCACACACCCCGTGAAAACAATGAAAGAGCCGATCAGTTAGCCCGGTTGGCTACGAGCAGTGGTAAACCTGGACAGCTCCGAACCACTCTTCACCTCGAGCTCGCCGTTCCAAGTATCGACAGCACTGATTGTTTATCGGTCTCTAAGCCGTCACCAACATGGATGACTGATATCACCCGCTTCATTTCGGAAGGCGTTGAACCTACATGTCCCTCAGCTGCCAAAAAGCTTCGAACTCAAGCCGCAAGGTACTTGGTTGTGGGGGGGGGGGGACTTTATCGAAGAGGCTTTTTATCTCCCCTACTCAAATGCCTTGACCCCGAATAGGCCAATTATGTGCTGAGGGAAGTTCATGAAGGAATTTGTGGTTCTCACACCGGAGGGCGAACTTTAGCTGCTAAGGTACTTCAGGCTGGCTATTACTGGCCCACACTCAAGACCGATTGCATGGAATTCGTCAAAAAATGTGTCCAGTGCCAAAAACATGGCAATTTGATACATGCATCAGCCGAACAACTACACAACATCAATTCACCTTGGTCGTTCGCCCTGTGGGGAATGGATATACTCAGACCATTCCCAATGGCTAAAGGGCAATGCAAATTTCTGTTAGTTGCGGTGGATTATTTCAACAAATGGATTGAGGCCGAGCCTCTCGCCACTATCACAACACATAATCTTCAGAAAATCCTTTGGAAACACGTCATCACACGCTTTGGGATTCCTCATGCCATCGTCACTGACAACGGACTTCAATTCACAGATCAGAAACTCAACAAATTTCTTCAAGACTTGGGAGTCAAACACAGATTCACGTCGGTCGAACACCCCCAATCAAACGGCCAGGCTGAGGCCGCTAACAAAGTCATCCTCTCGGAATTGAAGAAGCGCTTGGGGGCAGCAAAGGGCGCATGGGCCGAGGAGCTCTCGGAAGTACTATGGGCGTATCGGTGTACACCTCAATCCACAACTCGAGAGACCCCTTTTCGACTAACATATGGCACCGACGCAATGATACCAGTTGAAGTCGGAGAACCTTCCTTTCGTCGAACACATTTTGACGAAGAGTCCAATGAGGCATCTTTACGAGCGAAAATTGATTTAGTCGAGGAAATACGCCCTCGGGCTCAGGTTATAGCCGAAGCATGTAAACAGAGGATGACACGAAGGTTCAGCTCTAACCTCACCAAAAGAAGCTTCAAGGAAGGGCATTTAGTGTGGAGAATACAGGGATCGGCAAGGCGCAATCCGCGGGAAGGCAAGTTGGCAGCTAATTGGGACGGCCCGTTTCGAGTTCGACAGTCTCGACAATGGCGCGTATAAGCTTGAAGAGCTCTCAGGCAAGATCATTCCACGAACATGGAACTCGTCCCATTTGAAGACGTACTATAGTTGACACTTTGTAACAATGTTCAAAGATGTAAATACATGGTGCACACTTTTCCTTGATCGGTCTTTTTTCCCCTTATAAAAAAGTGAAAAGGGGTTTTGGCCGACGAGGTTTTTAACGAGGCACACATCAATGAAATACAATTCAGCACATATGTCTAATCTTTCTTCAGTGTTTATTTTCTAAAAATGGCTTCACCCCCGAGTGACCCTACTCGGCCAAGGATGTGCCTTCGGAATACGCAGAAAGGCTTCCCTCCCGAGTGACCCCACTCGGCCAAGGACGTGCCTTCGGAATACGCATAAAGGCTTCCCTCCCGAGTGACCCCACTCGGCCAAGGACGTGCCTCAGACTTAATCTAAAAAGGCTTCCCTCCCGAGTGATCCCACTCGGCCAAGGACGTGCCTCAGACTTAATCTAAAAAGGCTTCCCTCCCGAGTGATCCCACTCGGCCAAGGACGTGCCTCAGATCTACTCTAAAAAGGCTTCCCTCCTGAGTGACCACACTCGGCCAAGGACGTGCCTCGGATCTACTCTAAAAAGGCTTCCCTCCCGAGTGACCCCACTCGGCCGAGTGAATCCATTCGGTGTTCTCTCAAAACGTAAGCAACTCCGAATGAGTCCATTCAGTCTTATTTCAAAAAGTAGGCAACGCCGAAGGAGTCCGTTCGGTATTGTCTCAAAAAGCAAGCAACACCGAATGAGTCCATTCGGTGTTCTCTCAAAATGTAAGCAACTCTGAATAAGTCCATTCGGTCTTATTTCAAAAAGTAGGCAACACCGAATGAGTCCATTCGGTCTTGTCTCGGAAAGCAAGCAACACCGAATAAGTCCATTCGGTTTTCTCTAAAAAAGACAACAATTCCGAAGGAGGTTACTAGGTTTTGTTCAAATTAATCTCGCTCGGTTCTTCCTAGGACGAATTGTTGAGTTATTAACTTATGCAATATATAGTTTTGCCCAAACTCCTCAGATTTAACAATTCAAAATCATACAGCACTAGTTCGGGAAATGAAAGGGAAAAACTCGCTTTTATTCAGAAGGTTCTAATGACCTTTCATACAAAAAAAAGGGGCTCTATCGGCCTATCAAACATTTAATCTTCGGGGTTCACGGGGGCATCCTCTCGAGTTTCCGGCTCGTCTTCTTGCTCACCATCCTGCTCGGGTTGCTCGTCCTCAGCCTCGTCATCCGAAGCACCTTGAGTTTCTTCCTCCTCAGGGGTGTTATTCGACTCATCATTGTCGGGCTCAGCCCCGGCAGACATTTCCCCGAACGACATAAAGGATCTCTGGTAAAAGTCCTTGGTAATATCAAACTCAAAGCCCTCACGAAAACGACCGAAGTATCGTGCTTGCCGAAGAGTGTGACGAAAACCGGCCTCATGCTGAGCCACTATGTGCCCTTTTGCCTCCACTTTAAACCTCTCCAGCTCGGCTTCGGCCTCTTCGGCTCGGCGCTTCCCCTCGTTTTCTACTTTTTAAAGGTCCAGCCGAAGAGTGTCGTTGTTGCGCCTCTGCACGTCTAGCTCAGCTGCGAGCTGGCGGTTTGTAGCAAGAACCCCTTCGGTCGTTGCATTGGCCTCGGCTATTGCCTTTTCAACATCCTCCAGCCTTTGCCTCAACTGCATCAACTCGCCGATTGGCCCCATGGCAAGTTGATTCACCAATGCTAACGACCGCGATTGTAACTCGCAGTAGTACTTCCACTTTGAAGCTGCGTCCAGCTGACCCAGCAACTCTCGGCCCTGCTCCGAGAAGGCCTCTAGCCAAACTAGCGAATCGGTAGAAACACCTTCACCCCAAAAAGCTCTAGACATCAACCCGGGAGGGACGCAAATTACCGTCCCACCTGGTGAAGACATCGTTTGTTTCGACCTCTTGGTTTTCTCAAGCCTTTCCTCGGCAGCTTTCCTCTTATGGCTCTCTTCGGATGCTCCTTTCCCTTTCTTCCCCTTTTTATGCTTGCGAGTCGGCGAGGGAGGGGTCCGAGTGTCCTGTTCTGGCCGAGGCGATGGAGCAACCGAGGAGCTACCCATAACCCCCGAAGCTTTAACCTGTTGCACCCAATTGGCAAGGAGGTCACAAATATTGAACTCGTTCGCACCACTCTTCACCATGATTCCTGCATAAGTAACCAAGTGAACATCAATATGAATTTAGCTTAAGGCCGAAATGAGAAAGTCACTTACCTATCAAATCGTAATCCCATCGGGACGAATCAACCAAGTTAATCAATGACCTCGTCGGTAAACGCCGAGGTAGTTGAAGCAAAAATTGGACGTTTTGTTGCTCTTTGGCTGTGAGAAGATCGTCCGGAACTTCATCATATGGCCGAGGGGCACGTGTCCAGTACAATGGAAACAGACTCTTGTCGTCAACACCAAAGAAGAACCGTCGTCCGTTCAGCCGAATGGTCACCCGGAAGAACCCAGCCTTGAAGTTCTTGTAGGACGATGTGAAGCTATCCAAAAGTTGTCGAGTCCCCACTCGGTTCAGAGATACCCACTTCGCCAAATCTGACGGCCGAGAAGAATAAAAGTAAAGAAAAAGTAAAGGAGAAGGCCTAATGTTTACACATCGGCATAGATGTTTGAACCCTTGAAGCTGCGCCCAGCTATTCGGATGAAGCTGGGTCGGCGCCACATTTAAAGCCCGGAGAACTCCCATCGTAAACTCATCAAACGGCAACTTCACCTTCAGGTCTCTCAGAAGACAGTCACACATGTAGAAAGACACCATCTTCTCGGCCTGTTTGTCCAAACAGACCATATCGGGATCGGGAAAAGCGTTGTTTCGGCAGGCACGAATCCCAATCGGGTATGGCTCTTCTCTAGCGTCGAAATACAAACACTTCATATACTCCAACAAGTTGGTAATCATCGTAGTATCTCGATAACGTGAGTAATACGAAGTCACCTCACCGTTCACCCGCTCATACTCGGGCACTTCAGATGGCCCATATCTTTGTCGATTAGAGACACGTCTCGTCCTAATCGGTGCCCCCTCACTACCACTGGTTGAAGCCTCCTCGAACGTGCTCGTATTCTCGCTAGATCGTCTCTCTTCACTCGGTGAATGCCCCGAAACACTGGACGACGACCCCTCGGATGATGACCGAGCCTCACTAGCCGAAGAACTCTCGGATGAACTAGCCATAAAAGCAAACTTACCAGCAATGTAAATTCAGGACGGTCACTCGGCGCGCGGTTGGATCTTCAAACGGGCTCGGAAAACGCAATTCGGCTGAGAGCGATACGCGTAAAAGGCCTTACCACTCATCACTATATATAGCAAAGGGAAAGGGCGGGAAAAATTCAAAAAGTTGAAAAATGTAACTGCCTAATCTTCAAGATCCAACGCTGGAGATCGTCCCAACCTCTCGACTACCCTATAACTTAACCGCATCTTTGTACCCTTGCAGAAGGTATCCCTCCCACAAGGCTAGGGGGCAAGTGTACTAGCACGGCCATTCGGCCACTTGGCTCGGCCATTCGGTCACCTGATGGTCGACACCCATTCGGCGCCCGAGTGGCCGAACCAGGTGGCCGATCAGCAACCAGATGATCCATAGATCCAGATTCTCACTAATAAAGAGTTAAGGATTCCCTCTAATTAAGGATTAAGAGTTAATCACACCAATAAACCGATTAAAGGCGTATTACCTAATATGGTAATCCTGCCACAGGGCCCAGGGAGGTCAGGGCCCATAAATGTCAGTATAAATAGCTCATGTCACGAGATAACGTCACTGTTCATTAATTACTATCGATATCTGTGCTTTGTCCTGACTTGAGCGTCGGAGTGCCTTTTGCAGGTACCTCCCCCTCACCGGAATACTCGATTGGAGCTCTCGTTCGGCCCTCAGAATACAAGAAGATTACTGGTGTGTCATTTCGACAGGTACAATGCTCAATATTTCTACTTTATTGGTGTATTGATCTCGTAAATTGTCTCTTTTTATTCCTCTAAATTAACTTTGTTAGACTTTTTTTTTCTTTTTTTTTTTCTCGATGGGATAGATAGAGTACCCTCTGTACACTGTTTCTAACAATATTTTTCTTATAAAAAAATCTTCTAAATTAATATCCCTTGATATCTGTATCATGTATGCGTCTTTGCCCTTTTTATCCTAATTTAATATTTAGTAACATGCCAAACTACATTCTTCTCCATTGAGATTCCTTCATTTTATAGTACTGTAGCATTATTTGCACATCCTCTCTGTGATAGGTATGAAGACTAGAAATTTATATCATGATGGAATTCCCTCGTGCAACTTAATTAGACAGAAAATGCGCAATCGTGGCCATTTCAAGCACTGGCTTGAGGTTAAGAAAATTGTATAGGAATAGGACCTAATAATTGGATAGCAAAATGAATCTCCGTTCAAACTATATGCAAGACAGTGCAATTGAGACCATTAATTGAGATAGATGCACACTAAAGCGTGATTAGCGCGGCGGAAAAGTTGGTTTAATTTATTATCTATTATTTATTTATTTTTATTAAGATGGTAAGAGAACCACATTCTCATGATTATTGGCAAGGAAGTGTAGATCTTGAAATCAAGTATCATTGTTCACTTAGTGATTTGTCAAAGTTTAATAATGATGAGTTTGATCTAACACTTTACTTGTCAAACTAAAGATTAACAAATGTTCACTTTAAGAATTTCACCTCTAATGTCAAGAGATCTCCTTGAATAAGTATGTTTATCAAAGTAAGATTTATGATTATAGAAGATGTCAAATTCGCGTTATGAGTGCATTGAAAATTTTTCTTGCTACACATAATTAAATATTATTATTATTTTCATGTGATCAAATTGTCAAAATAATACTAGTAAGTCGTTAATTCAAGTAATATTAAACTTAATATTTTTAAGCAAAATTTTACATTTGAATTTCATAGATAAAAAAATGATTAAAAAA